CAAATATTATGTGAAACCGCTTAGACCATGGTAAAGCAGAGAATTTAATAAACCATTTTGGACAAATTTATCCTACAATCATCAAGTTAAGATGTTAACTTTTGATTGGATAGTTACCCTATGGTCCCCTTTAAAAAAAATTATAACGTATGGGGTAATACACGGATATTCTTACCAGATAGTTATCCTAATAAATAGCCAGGAAAATGAAACGGCAACTTCAATTAACTAAACATTCAGTTCACATCGGGCACCAGCCTAATGATTTGACATTAAGCGATTAGCTGACTGGCTGACTCATGCGATATATATATATAGGTTGGGAGACTGAAATGCCTTATTTATTTCATGCTGTTACATGATTCATCTACCGTAACAATTACTCATGTTTGTCAATGTTAGTTGTAGAAACTAACCTTTGTAATGAGCAAGTTAGTCGATTGATTGAGGAAGAAAATTTTAGAAAGTTTAAATATCTAGCTTCTTGTTAAAGGCTTGAAGTATAAAATTTACTTACATCCAAATGTGGACATTTTATTTTAAATGTTTCAGTTGTCTTAGTGACATACAGAAATTATTATTGCTTACATGAATCATCCAGTTAACAGTCAAAAGGAATTTTGTTTTTAATCCTATTAACACGTTTTAGTCAGTAGAATGTCTTAAAATGATCGCGGTACCAATTACCAATAAATATTAGTTGTTTTCAAGATGTTTCGCCATATTCGATGTCTGTAAGTTGGATTCATAGCTTCGAAAGTTTAATATACTGTTACATAAACGATAAATTGCGTCTATACAAATTTTTTTCCTATGGGGATTCGAAAATAATAGAACTAATGATTCCCGATAGTTATTAAGTAAGACTTCTCCAGTCTTTCAATTACGACTGTTACTCCTCATGCAAGAGCATAGGCTGCTCATCAGCATTCTCCATCGAACATTGTCCTGAGCAATCCTATCCAACTCTTTCCAGTTGCTATTCATTCTTTTCATGTCTGCTTCCAATTCTCGAAGCAATGTGTTATTCAGCCATCTTCCCTTCAGTACTGAAGGCAAATGCTTGCTTCATGATGAAGTTTAGTGATTTCCGTAATATATGTCATATCCATTTTCAACGCCTTTTCCTAATTTCCTCTTCAGCTGGAAGTTGATTTGTTTTCTCCCACAATAGGCTGTTTTTAATGCTAATCAGATACATGAATGTTTTCACATCTTCCAGAGTTTCCCCATCAAGTATGATTGTGTTGGTGTTCTGTGTTGTATTTTAGAATCTCTCTTTTTTCCCTGTACATGTTGAGGCCTACTAATACAGAGTTTACTGCTATACTGGTTATCTTTATCCTCATTTGTTGATGTGGATGTAATAGAAGAGCAAAGTCATCTGCGAAGCCCAAGTCGTCTAGTTGTATCCAATCTGTCCGTTGTATTCCGTGCTTCCCCTCAGATTTGGTGGTCTTCACAATCCAGTCAATCACCAGAAGAAAGAAAAAGGAGATTAAACAGCCTTGTCTCACTCCGGTCTTCACTTGGAATGCATCTGTCAGCTGTCCTCCGTGCATGAATTTGCACTGTAGTCCAACATATGAGTTCCGTATGATGTATCAACCTGAAAGAAACGACCAATTTTTCTTTTTCGGTAGTTACTAACCCTTATTTATGTTGTTTACATACATGATATATGAGAAAATATTCACCATCATTTGTAATCTCAAATTCTATGTAAGAAGTTTCTTTATACACTAAATTAGTTTAATTTAGAGTATTTACAAGAGGAGGAACAAAAAGTTACTCAAATTGAGTAGTTATTCTTCAGTACAGTAAAACTTTTTATAAATAAACATTCATGAGATAGCTATTTTATGGTATTTACAAACAGTCTTAACAGTAATCTCACTTTTGGTTTATTAATTATTAGAGTCGATTAACTATGAATGGGTTTAATTCGCAACGAAAATGACTAATTTATACATTTAAGTTTACGAATTGTTGTACGTGATAGTCAGAAATAATAATAATTATTATTATTGAGTAGACAATTTGGTGATCAGTAGGATTTTCAGGTGGTATGGGTCAAAGATTGATCTGATCTGGCGTGCCACTGAAAATGAAGGAGACCCAGGTAATGATTTTGTCCTAGTGTATTGGAATCAACCTTACCAACGACTAATAAATGATTAAAAGCTGGACTTTCAGGTCTTTTAGTGGATACCTATCTTTTATAAAAATTAGTTCAGATCTTCATAATCCTGACATCAACCACGGTAATGATATATCATGATGGTCATTCATTATAATTACACTGAATATTTCGATCCGGACATATTTGAAACCTACTAGTAAGGAATACACATATGAACTTCTGTAACTCATCTCAAATTACGTCAGTAGTGAACAAAGTTATGTTTATGAGGGCGTATCTTGGAGTTTTCTTAAACTTGTAAGTTATATTCTTAATGTTGTATCACAAATCTATTAAAGTTTGAAATATAGACCATTGAATCGCATCAATCATGACGTTTAATGTTTGAGTGTTTATCATGAAAGGTAAAGGGTCCCAGGTTTGTTCCTTGGCGAGGTCATGAACAAACACTATCAGGTCTCATCCTGGAACTACCTGGTTGATCAGTTTAAATTGAGGTCAGTTTCGGACAAACACTAGTTCCATATTGTTACTAATACTTGTAATAACGTGTATAGTCTCCGTTGATTTTTTCAAGGTTTTAGAAACCTGCAAGTTTTGTGATTCGTTAATCGTGGAGATACAACTTCAGTTGTAAATAAATTTTTACCATGAAACTTCAAACAATTTAAAGAACTAATCTGAAATAATACAGAAAATTTCCAAAAACAGTCACCTGTATAGGAATCTGTATAGTGAGGTCATATTTCGCCAACCATAAGACTTTGAGTTCACATAGTTTAATGGGACCAGGGGAAAAATGTAAACTAAATCATAATCAACACAAAACCTGGTAACAAGTGTAGCTTTTCCTAACATTTCTTACGTCATCAGCACACCAATTAACTTAAACAGTAGCAGGGCGATAAACAATCCGAAATAATAAACAATAAAACAAATAGTTAGAAGATAATAAATGAAAGTATATATGTTTGGTGTAAAACTGAAATACCGAAATGTAGAGAAAGACAAAGAGTAGATACACCTCAGCCACTTTGCTAAACTTATAACCATGTCACTCAAAGTCTTCAACAACTGATCGTTGATATCATGTGGCGTATGTGTACCAACACGGCTTGGTTCAACAGTACACGATCTTACGGATTGATATCACGTAATGGTTTCTATACCACTAGTCTTTTCTAATCTACTTCTAAATCAAACAGCTTGATAAACAACTAATCATGAGGACACCCGAATTATAACACAAAATCTTAAAACGAGACCACGGAAAAATTGCAAAGAATGTTCTGAAGTAAATTTATATAGTTGTGCAGAGTAAATCCTGAAATTACTCTCATGAATAAATATTAGGAAAAAAGCCGGTTTTTAATTAACTAAGGTATTATTGATAGTTTGCTGGTGAAAAGTTGAATTTCACTGATACATGTGACCACAATATGTGTATTACCAAGAATGTAATCACATGTGAATTGAAGTTCATGTGAATGATAAATAATAAATGTAAATTTTTTATAAAATGCCATATGAAGATGCTGAATCATTAACATTGAGATACTACCAACTTTGCAAATTAAAAGTTGCTTTAGTTTATTTCAGCCTAAGAAAAAGCCTTCACGCTTCGACTTCAAACATACTAGATATATATCAACTTCCAATAAATCAGGTCAAAATTATTCCAGAAGCCGTCAACTGATGATTAACCTGTTATTTTTAAATGTAATTTTCTGAATAATAGTTCAGCTATCTGAAAAGTTTTGATATATGATTTATGCGCATTTAAAAATTCTTTAAATTAGATCAATCTTAATTTGTTGTTTCAATATGAAAACCAACAGTTTAATACAATTCAGTCTATTTTAAGATTGACAAGTGATTTTAAATAAAATGAGATAGTGTAAATACTAACATTTTCCTACACTGATCTCGTTTATCTGAGACTCTGAAAGTAACAACTTGAAAGCACGTTTTAGTCAAATATTCCTAGCAAAACAGCTTAGAATACATTATCAGTGTGTAGTTATAGAGATTATTAAGTTTTTGATTGAGATCATGCATCGGTGAATCTTAAACCACCATTGGAAATCTAAAAGGACTGGAAGGCCGTTTCGTCCCGGCACGGGACTCCTCAACAGTGCGTACTCAAGATCCCGCACGTGGGATTCGAATCCAGGACCTTCGGCCTCGAGCACAAACGCTTAAACCCTAAACCACAGAGCCGGCGTCCAACGGTGCTAATGTCTAACTTAAACCAATCTACAAAACTGCTTGACCATATTCCATTGTCTGAGATAAATACCTGTCTCTACATGACATGGATTAACTCCACTGGTCGCAGTTATGGAAGAGTGAATGAAGTCTTACATATGTGCTAGTACGTAACAGTACTCGGAACTACTATTATTTCTGTTTGACTGTCAAGCTGTTGGATGGTCAAAAGAGAATCCAGTAAGCATTGTTGATAAGCATTTATAAAAATTTAAGCCGAATTCAAATTCAAATAACTTTCAAAATCATGTGTATAAAAAACCAAACCGTAAGAATGATAGAATCTTAATCAAATCAGTAACCGTCATTTAGTGTCAAAGTAGTCGTTATTTTGAAAGTAATAGGTTAACGATTCATACTAGACTTAACAATAACAAACCTATTTTAAGCTGTTTATACACTTCAGCTAACCTTCCAGAAGACGTGTTGTGTGTTGAGTGTGGTGAATAAAATGAAATGAATGATTATAATTTGTCTGACAAAAAATATAATACGTGATTAAAATTACATTCAAGAGTCTATACTGATATATAAAATAATAAATTAAAACTGTGGTTATAACAAGAACATCAATTCTTTCATGACTTACTTCCCACTTTCCTTATAGTTTGTACGCTTAAGTATTCACCATCGTAATTAACACCAAAACATCTTGGATCAAAATGCGTTAACATTTTCACTACTAATACAGACTAAACAAATCAACCAATCATAGCTAACTTAAATATGATTGGTTGAATCGAGGGTCAGTCATAAAGAGATAATCGAGTTTTTGACAACAGTAACTTATCCTTGTCTTATAGTGTATCATTTACATTACTTATTGAGAAGAACTTTTTATATTGTATGCTAATATCGAATAAATTTCTCTCCTCTCTTAAATTGTTTATCGACCATGTCTATGAATCCATATGAAAATGATCAATAATAACCATAAGTTTATAATGTATTACTTAAATATGTTTAACTTAATATACTCATTCATTCTCCTTACTTATTGTACAATTTAGGCTACGAAAAATGTTCTCAAGTAATGAAATTAATGAAAATCTGATTTAAACTATACTCCCATCCTTTGTTATTCTTATTAAGGCTAATTTTCGAACATTGGTAATGGAAATCAACAAGATGATCTTATCGAGCAAAACACTATGCATAGATTATGTAACAAGTTTTAAATATATAAAACATGGATTACTTCATCTTCAATTGACTCATGATTTCAACCATGAAAAATACTGAAATCTCAGCAAAACCCCTTCTGATTATAATCATATGCTCACTGGTGACAGACTTCAAGAGATATTTCTTGGAGTTCTAGTGGTAAGCAGTGGAGTTCAACAACGTCTGTTGTGAGATATCAGCTCACTGAAAACAATTGTTGAACGGTTGCTCAACTTCGTGGATCAGCTGAAGTTAGACATTAACACCGTTGGATGCCGGCTAGGTGGTCTAGAGGTTAAGCGCTCACGCATGAGACTGGTAGGTCTTATGTCCGGATCTCGCGAGGCGGGATCGTGGATGCGCACTGCTGAGGAGTCCCACAATAGGACGAAACGGCCGTCCAGTGCTTCCAGGTTTCCCATTGTGGTCTAGCTTCAATTGGCTCATGATTTCAAATATTTTAAACAGTCTTATTAAGCTTGAATTAAATCCAGTTAAAACGTTTAAACGAAAATCATGACAAATTATTTACTGAAATTTATCTTAGTAATATGATGATATTTAAAAACAATTACAGTGACGGCAACTACAGTTGTATATCGATTCGTTAATATTGTAAAGAACGAGAACACAGGCGGGAACAACTAAATATATTTCAATACACTGCAGAATACCTTGATAAAATCTGAGAACCATACAGTAAATACTTCATTTGCAAAATATACATCGATTGCTTGAGACTTTGTTCTTCCTTCGTTTCCATAACAATCATTCTCTGTTCTGGTTCTCTTCTCTTCGATTTCTCTCAACCTTCTGCCACTAAGCATTCCACTTTCGATTAGTGATACATACTACTTATATCTCTCGATACCATTTACACTCACCACAATATCAGCTTCATGTTTGTGTTAGTGCTAATGTTTATATTAAAATTCAAATCAAGTATATTTCATAACATAGATGAAATTTATGTTACAAACAGTGTTTTGATTGACTTAATTCATCAACACTAAGACTAAACATACACATTCTTACATTTATACCCTGAGAAAGATGAGGTATCTAATGGATGTTCATAAATACTATTCAACAATCAATGATAATCTTTGATGAAAAATACTATTTTTCGCTCTAAGCAAGGTCGTGAAAATGTTTTGATATTTTACTTAATAATCTATTGGACAAGTGAATTGACTTGGAAAGAAGTTCGTGCTTTATATACATGTATCTATTTGATTCACTTGTTATCCATCACGCTACTAATTTAAAATGCATATACGAGTCATTTAAAATTGTTGGTTTGTATGTTAATGTTAAAAATGTAACTGATTTTTTGTTTTGTTTTAAATGACCAAAAGTACTGATCACCAAGAAACAATTATTTTAATTTTTGAAAATTAATTTCTACTTCATTGGTCTTATCAAGTAAATTCTTGCCTTAGAAGAATATTTTAATATTGTAGCGGTAAACAATCGCTTATTACAATGTCATGTGAACATCTGATATTGGCGTTAACCGTCTCAGTAGTACTGAACACAACACTAGATGAAAGAGCTCAGTTCAGAGTTCACATTCGATTAGTATGGCGTAGAATGCTTCTCCTCTGATACATAGCCAGCTTAAATTCATACACCACGATAAATTAGAATTTCTTCCAAATATATCTTCTCACTTAATCGTATTCGAATTCCTCTCTTACCAACTTCAGAATCATTTTGTGAGGAAAATCTCGAACAGCAGTATCGCAGAATCCTAAAGCATCTGACTACTCATCAACCTATACTTTAGTCGACAGTAAGGTCTTGACTTTGAATTTCAGATTAAAAATGTCAACCGAGTTGTCTTAACATATAGACATACATATAATTTATTATGCGTATATTACATATATTACATTACCTATATATACTATTACAAATATGTATAGTCTTCTGACTCTTGAGTCTTTCCTTTGGAAGCTATATGTTTGAAGTTCATGTAAAAGTCCCTTAGGTAAATTATCAGTTATCCAGTAGCTTAAGGAATCAATTTTTTTATTAAAACAAATATGAAGAGTAAGCCAGGTAATTAATTATACAAAGATAGAAAGTGTAAAAGTAGCTAAGAGAAGGTGAGGTGTTCCAAATTGAAAGCAATCCACCAAAACATTGTCAGTTTGTTTGGGTTTGATAAGCGATAATCTAACAATAAAAGCATGAATGTGATGTGTGCTACTAATGTTGGTAGACATAAGCAGTATGTAGCACCAATCGAAAGTGGAATAAGTGCCAGCAGAAGATTGAAATGATTCAAGTGAAGAGAACAGAAAGGGAAACAGAAATTATTTGTTGTAGCACCGATGGAAGATGTGCAATTAATATATTTAATGTAGAATTTCCATATTTCAGGTAGACACTCTGTAATCTCTCATTCAACAATAAATTGCTCTTCCCCACTGGAATTCTCGTTCACTACATAGTTATTCGATTTATTTTAATCTGGAATATTTTCAACAGGTATCTTAAATTTTTGATTAACGTTCTGGTCATATGACTCGTAAAACAATCTCGTATTCCTTTGATTGATTTTCCTAAGATCATTTCACTGTTTCACAACTAAAACAAGCGAAAACTATCACCTGATAAAATGAAAGATGTCAATCAGAACTGTTTATTTTTAAGATTACTATAAAAATTAGAAAGTAAAAGTTAGCCGCTTAGCAGAAATGAATAGCATTATACGATAGAGTATTTAATTCTAACAGTTACTTCATAGTTTTGGAGAAATAAATAAACCACACGGAGTTTAAAGATGTCGAAAAAAATTTAAACAACAGAAAATAAGATAGTCATCATGATTACAGTATATTGGTAAACATAATACCGAATTCATAGAATAAATTTTATTTGTATGGTAACAAACTCTTGATCTAACACAGTTACTTCAAGTAATAATTTCGTTAAAACCTACTAGTTTACTGATCCAGTATTCACTATCAATCAGTTACTAAGTGATGCCGGAGTTGATACTGTCATTATCTTGGAATACTTAGTGTATATCAACACGATTTAAGCTACGCATATAACCTTATATGTACATATAATTTGTTAATTAAAAGTGAAAATAACATAGAAACTGAACCTGTGTATTTTTAAGTTATCTCAGTATATATTTTGTACTTGACAGTGGTTAGTATATTAAGATTATAAACGCTAGTTAGAAATTTCAAAAGGAATAAGCTATAATAATTTTATTCTTGTTATTACAAAATGAATAAAATGTAGATTTCATATAACATGAACAGGTCTCATGTGAAGATTTGGAATTAGGACCTTTCAAGCTCAAGACTAACGTTTGACCATGACAATTCATTGTTAGAATTAAAACTTCTTTCGATTCACTTTATGGCCCGATGATCGCTTAACATTATTGATGAAAATAGTTTGACTCTCTGACAGCGAATTTAATTCATATTGCTAAAGAGTGGGATATAACGGTGAAAGAACTGTCGAGTGTTCTGTGATTATAAGTGGCGACTCAAGATCTATCTATGACGATTGCACCTACAAGTTGGATTAATCTCTACCAAACCTCTTCAAGCAAATATGTTATTCATTTAAATTGAATTTCGTTATTTCATCAGATCGAATCAGTTGTTAAAATATCATTATCAGTGAATATGAATTTCATCTTCGTTGAAAACCGAAAGTCATCCTACTTGACTGAACGAATAGCAATAAAGGTTCATTAAAGTTTTTATAATTGCTCACTTAATCAATAACAAGTAAACCAAAACAATGCGTTTGAAATTATCTATCATATTCTGTTACATTTACCTCATGGTTTGATTATACACCGAATAAACAGCAATAGACATCAGAATTCATATTAAAAAATCAAATCACTGAATTCAAAAGAACTTTTTGCAAAAATGCACTCTCAACCTTGACGACCAACATAGCTGACACTAGAGGAGATTAAAATAACTTATTCCATTGTCTTTTTATTGTTAAAGAAATCAGATTTTTTCATCCTCTCCATCATTTTTCTCTTCGCTTTTACATAACAGTTATTAGATGTTTTATTAACAGACTGTTCTATTCCCATGTTCAATATTATGTAACCTGTCAGTTCTCGAACTATATGTTCCAATCCATCTATTTTAGTAATTTAAATACTAAGCGACAACGTTTTATTTGAGACTCAAGATTATTATAAACAAACAAACTTAGACCAGATTTTGATAAGAATATTCATGTCTTACAGTAGCTACAATGGTTTTATATTAAAGTGATGGAATTCAGTCAGCCTTTACCAAATTGTGATCTTTCGAAATCATCTGCTAATCAGCGTTTTCCTTCATATATCATGACTTTTATTGAAACTTTACGAATCTGTATAAAAACTACTCACATGGTGGATTTATGATTATTGTTGAGATACAGATTTCATCGTTGTTCTTTCCATCAGATGTGCTTTTATTGTTAAGAGCTAGCACAGGCTGAAAAACTGCTTAATAAAAAGTTCATTGGAGAGTTGTTACATATCTAATTGAATTTCCTCTAATGTTTTTTCTAACTATTCAACTGTTAAGCAGATTTTATGTTACTATATATAAAATGTTTTTGTACAGGTTACCCAAAAAATAGCCTCACCATGCCAAATCGATTTGTTAGTTCTTATAAAATGACAACTGTGAATAAACATATTTCAAATAAAAAGAGTAAATAAAAAATATCTTTTATAACAGAACGGATGAAATGTGGCTTATATTAGAATTCAAGACGTGCATTTCGTCCTACCTGGGAATCGTCAGCTGGATGTTCCTGAATCTCAAAATTGGTGTCGACTTCGAGACTTAAACTCAAAACCATTTGCCTCAAACACTATCGCATTATCCACTTAAATAATGAGTCCAGATAACTGCTCGCTTGTTTAGTATGCACAAGATGCCCATTTGCCAACCAAGACTAATCAAGTTTCAGTCAAAAATATCAACAATGAGATGATACAAATCATTTAAAATTGAATGAAGTATCTGTTAATATTAATTTCTTATAGTTTATGATAGTCCACGAAGTTCAAGCATTGAAAATGTTACTTAAAGTTATAAACAAAGAAAAAAAATTAGAAATCAATAAATGATAAAGCAGATTTTATCATCTGCTTATTGATCTTTTTACCAACCTTAATAATGATTTGTAGACTAAATATGCTTAGCTGAAGAAAAACAAAAACATTGAAAAGGGAAATTAATTTCTTTAAAATCTTTTCCCCGTCAAAAATAAAAAAAATTGTTCGAAACATTGTGAATTTTTAAATATAAAAATAGATAAAAAGCTTTTATATTTATATGTGGTTTTGATATTCAGAAGAGTATAAACATTTTAATTGAAGTGTTTTCCTTCTCTTTCCTCTCCAGTTTCTGATTAGTTTTGTTTTTCAGAAAGAATTTTGAAACAGAAAAGGAAAGAACTTAATTTTCTCATCAGTTTTAATATATTTAGAAATTATACGGCATCAAATGATAGCTAATTAATCCCAGGGGTTTAAACCGGTCTTTGATCAGATTGGAAATCGATTGATACTTGGAAAAACTTTTTTAATGATTAGTACTGAACGTTTATGGTATTTAAATCTCATGACATACGTTTGTTAATATCGATTTAATTATAGAATAGTTTGTTAATTATAGAATAGTTATCCAAATATATGATAAGGAATTTTCTGAATGTATTATTGACATGAAAGGCTGATTATTTTGTAGGTTCTGATAGATTTACTTTTCTTTTACACAGTATGTTTTAAAAGTTTTAGTAGATGGGGTTAAATTAACAAATGATCAAACAGTTTATTCCACATTTAAATGCTCAGATTGCTTGTCAGCTTATATAACTCGGTTACCTATGAGAATAAGTTAGCACAGTGATGGGAAATGAATCAACGATCGAAATTCCGAATACAATTTATTTAATGATATCAGTCATCACTGTATTCACAAATGGTTACTTACGTTCGTCACAAGAGGAATGTTCTCTAAGCTTCTAAACGTAAATTCAGAATAACTACGAACAAAGCGTAGCGGTGTACCGTTTGTGAAGTACAAAAGCCATTATTAGTCAACGTTTTATAAATGTGAGAAATTCTTAACTTCGAATGACCTATCATATAAATTACTAAAGGACTATTGACAAAAAATAATGTTATAATGGATCTCCCATCAGATTTTACCTGGTTTCTTTCGAATTTAATTTAGTTCCTATATATATATATATTGAAGTCAGTATCATCTAAAACGAAGTAGTCATAACTTACTTTATAGTTTGATCCATGTTCTGGTAACAACTCATCAAATTTTACATAGGCATAGCTAATTCAACATTGACATTGGGATGACAGAAATTCTACTTCTATTTCTAGTTTGAATGATAATATTTTTACTGATAACCTTTAGTGTTTATAAACAAAAATACTGTTTTAATCAAAGGACAAAATTCATTAGAAATGACCTTAAAAGACCTCCTCTGAATAAGCTAATTTTTAATAGTATCTCAAACGATGTAATGAACAAAGAAACAAATATATACTTTTTAATTATGAGTTGAAATAAAAGCATACAAATGATTCCTATAAGTAGATGTTTTTATAAGAAACTTTTAAGTCTCATTAAATAACGACGGCTTTGTCAGTGGGAAAAAATGTTTTATATTGAACTGGTACAAACTGTGAAATTATCACGGAGTATTCAAATTACTTTTATCTGAATCTCTTGAGAGGTGAAAAACCAAGGTACTGGGCAAAATTGATATCATGATTTTTAAGTCACTTGATTCATATATTTTCAATCCTTCTTGAAAATTGAATATAGTAAAAATAATGTTGGAAACAGGGTTTTCATACACCAGCTTAGATGTATTATTGTAACCTTGAAGGCTGAAAGTCAGAGGTTTCATCCGTCAGCTGTCGTAGGGAGAACTAAAACAAGAAAGGTATGGATTAATCCTTCATTTCGCTACTGTTGTCGGTTTTTGATGAAATCTACTCTGAATTCTGCTATGCAGAAGCTAATTATAACAAATGTTTGTCAAGTGGATCAAATAAAGTGGGTTAATATTCAACATGATTTAAATTTCTAACCGTATTTTTGTTGAAAAATATTAAACAGTTCAGTTTTTTGTAGAAAATTTAATTGGCAATCCTTATTATCTTATAACTAAATCCATTTGTCTCTTAAGGGCTATGTTTTAACTAGGTCAATACATCGCCTTTGAATAAGTAACATAAAATAACTTTTATCAACTTGTAGAGACTACGACTAACTCGATTTTAATGACATTGCTTCACGTTCAAGGATTAAAAATTCTTCATACTGCTTTCGGCAAAATCCAGCCTCATAATTAACTTCACATGTTACATTTATTGATATTATATAACAGTACAATTAAATTATTTCAGTCTTAGTAATTTGATTGAACAGATGGATACAATTACAGACTAACTACTTAGAGTCCTGCCCATTCGTGTTTAAACTAAACTACACTTGAACAATAATCAGGAAAAATTTAGTAACTAACATACAATAAATTTCATCATATTCTTTAAAAAAATATTTGAGAAATCCAGGAACGTGGTTTTACAAAAACCATTCTTGCTAATAGTGTAAATGTGTAATTTGGAAATCATATGATATCTTAATGATAGATAAACGTGTGTCACACATCGTTATCATATTACACATCTGGTTCATATAGAATGTACACACCGTTAACGGAACTAATATGAATTTCAATACAAATGTGCTATGGTGATTCTTTTCAGTTTAAGTTATGTTTGGTAAACTAGTTCAGTGATTTAAGAAAGCATTATAAATGTCACAGTAAAAAAACCATTTATACAGTTTGTCACTTTCTAGTACAGTGAAAAATACTATGGAAATAAGTCTTTTAAGAGGTTATCTTTTGTGGATCCAAACGATATATTATACGTAACGCTGAATATGTATTGATTAGTTGCATTTTAATAAGCTTGACTTGAGAATCTGTCTTTTAATGAAACAGAATGAAAAATAAGCTTCAAGCTTCTTCTTTGACAACATTGTGAAGTGTCTCATAAATCGAGATCATTTAAAGGATGAATTACCGTGCTGAGGTATTTACAGTCACTTTGATCTATAGCTGATAATCATAGCAAAACAACGTCAGTTATGGTATCAATAGAAAGGACTAACTTCTAGATAAGTGTTTAGTTTCAGTATAAAACTCAACAGTGGCTCACATTCATGACTTTTCTTTAATCCTATAATTTACCTATTACCTTCACACTACTCAGTTGAAATCGAACAGTTCACCTCCCTACATAGAAGCAATTCATGACAATTATTCATTATCATCAATAATTATTGCATTTATCCCAACATAATAACGGTGATCAGATATTTGATGGGTTATCCTAACCATAATTTACATTCTTTTCAACACGTCTTATTAGTGTTACAAATAATTGAAATAAAACTGTTTACCAAAGTTCCACATCTAAGGCTCATAAGGTATGGTAAAAATGTGGAATATAAGAATCTCTTATAAATTTAACATTTAACGTGTCAAGTTTTAATCAGGTGGTTTAATATTTCTATAAAAAAAACTTAAAGTTTAACTGAAGTTATTGTAATTCTGATTAAATGAAACTGGAAAACTTAAATAAATAAAAAATACTTTGTCTCTGGAGCATAATAACGAATGAATAAGAATGGATTTTCATATCCTGATGACGAACCACAAGAAATACGTCCCGAAACTTTTCAGCTGATGTAATATTGTTTTTTTGATCATTAAATACATAATGTACAATCTAATGATAAATGAAAAAAATCAAAAATTATTAGTCTGGTAAATACTGAGTTTATGTGAAGGCTCTGAATCTTTATGAGATATCACAGGAGATTGTAATGAGACATGTTACTGCCCATATGAGCTAAAAATTTCAATCATTGTAATACTAGCTTACGTTCAGCTATAGTTTCATCAAATATAAAATTAGATTAATAATGTTATATCCACTTAGTGTTGCTATAAATAAATGTCACTTAACAGATGGATTGTATACATACAGATGTTATTCTGTTTCAATGCTAATTTTCATTGATTGCTTATCAAACAATGCATTTGTCATCAGAGGTCTTATACTCTTGAATAGATAAGTCGTTGAATTGTTGATAGTTTATTATACGTGGGAATCAAATCTATACAACAGTAAGATGTCCCCATGCTACGGTACATTGCCTTTTTAATTGAAATTTCACAATAACTTGGTATTATTTATTGTTATTGGCTTTTCACTCTACAATGGTTTCAAATACAATTACATGATGCACAGTGCTTCTCGTAATTCCTTAAATAACTATTATTTCAATATGGATAATCTTTAAAAATCTAAAGCAATAATGTCTACCTGAATAACCAATGGGTAAAGTGTCTGAATGTCATACTAAGTTATACCTCCCTAAAACATACAGGATATACATGTTCCCACAAAACTGGAAGTACATGATGATGACAAATACCGACTAGCGTGAAATCTGAGGTAAAGGTTTCTTGACAGTCACCTGAAATTAATTAACAGAAATTAAAAATTATTCTTGCTGCAGAATAACATTTTCTGTCGAAAGTAACAAACCATTCCAAGTTGAATGAACAACGCCAGTATATCTGACTTAAAACAAAGGTGAGTTTTAATGGAATCCTTATATTTAAAGTTGATTTTCATTGGTCTGAAGGTATTTTGACAGAAAAATGACTTGAATGGTTAGCTTGAAATGAATGTATCAGGGAAAAATGTGACTAATAATTTCCGTTTGTCATTCACCGAGGTTTCAGACAGGTTATACATTTGAAAAGCGTAAATCTCCTTGTTTACTCTGTAAAGCATTTTCAAAGCTCTGTCAACCGTTTTATATTGACGTGTTCAGTAGTCAGTGCTTTCGACTTCTATATAATGGTTATTAATAAATCTTATTACAGAAGCAGTTATTTGTATTTTCTATGATAATGAATTTAAACCGGCTTAAACTAACAGTAAAAGCATAGGATTTTATTTTTATTTATTCAAGGTTATGCTGTACAACCGTATTTTAAAAAATGACAACTCCGTATTTTATGAACTCAGTTATTCATTTTCCACCATTCATTATCATTTTCACATATCCGACATCCTCACCTCTTGGTGGTATTGGATAAAACGCATAAACACTAAACATTAGAGATCTAACTTATCTATCAGCAGTAAACAATCATTTTGAATATATTGATTAAATTACGGCGATAGGAAATTTAAAGAATCTTTTATTTAATAGTTATTCTTATTGCATCATAATGTATACTTATATATCTAATGAGTAGACATCCTGAATTCCATTTTTGTATGAGTTAACTCGTTGCGAATATAATTGGAATTGGATAATTGTCTGTTAAATGAAAAGATAAACGGATATTTATAAAAAAATATTAAAAACAATTATCTCAAAAAGTAATTTTGATAGAATGAGAAATTATGTAATTATCCAAAAACTATAAATGAAGGATGGAGGGTATAAGTGGAGGCAATAAGCTATTGTGGTTTAACATGAATTTGAAGATTATTATATTATTATTAATTATTAATCAAACACATAAACATAGTTACAAGAAGGCACCAAATAGATATGCGCCACATAAATCATTCAATTTGCACGAGGGCTGGAATACTGCCTGGACGCCCAAACTAAAGCAGGTGGTTTCCTTACGGGGTCACACTCCAATCCTTCGACCTAAAAGTTTGATCCACAAGGCAGTGGAGCAACGTAAGGGGATGCAATCTCATTGTAGCCGGTGACCATACGCCATTCGTTCCTTCAGGATCTTAGAGTCCATGTGCACCATTAGTTTGCAATCAGGGCTTTCCAACTCCCCTATGTGGATCCTCCATATCCACCAACCCGGTTAATGAGCCGGACATTTGCTTTTTGTCCTTTCAATTTCATAAACAGCACCCCGTCGAAGAGAAGGTAGTGAGTCGGACTTCCTTGACAATGGTTGCATGCATGTGGTCATGTGAGAGCATTTCGTGGAGAAGTGCTGACTCTCGGCCGTACAATGGCATTTGGAGGCTGGTGTTACATACTGCTTATGTCTGTCTACATAAGTAACATACACCACAATAAGATTATCAATATTTATAAGAAATTAAAAATTAAAATCAAAGAAACTTTAAAAATAAACAATATTATCAAATGTACTGAAAAACGATACGCATTCTGAACAAGTTACATCAAGATAACGAAGATTTAATCTTTCCACTCAGAAATATCATGATCATGATCATTGATTCAAAGATCGTAAAATTGTACACTGATAAACAGCTTTAAACGAATATAATTATAACATCTTTTAAATGTAATATCAATCCTTTTGTATTTCACTGCTAACATTTGATGTTAAATAAAGTTGTTTCATCAGTAAGCGATTTTTTTTCAATGAACAAATAAATTACAATAATCATGACCCTGGTAATATTAGCTTATTATCCAGAATGATCTGGTTTTAAATTGTTTTCACACTATTTCTTTATTATCCTTGTCTATTCTTACCCACCTCCATTTCCAGTCTAGTTAACCTTTTATTTTTATCTATAAATGTTCTTAACAAGTATATGTGTGACCACATTGTTCGAAATGTATTGCACTAATATATCATTATATAGTTCTGATAATCTTCCTCTTCTTATTACACTATCGAAATCATAACTGCATTAAAAATTTATATTACACAAATAAATAACTTTTGTATTATTAAATCTATCAACTTACCATGACATATTTGATAATTGTCATTGTTTAACAAGAAAACCACTTGTATTTATTCATATGGTAAGTTAGTTATACTATCATATGGTAGTAAATAACCCTGAGATGTAAAAATGTATAAAATCACCTTGACCTATAGTAACAAAACAGTCTTCTCTTTATTATTTTACCTATTACACCTTTCTCTTATATGAGAATAGCTAATTCAAACATTTCTAAAGTTAATCTGAATTTAATATTTAAAAAAAGATATTTGTAATAGTTATTTTAAAAAAATTATCAAAGTTAACCTATTCCCATTTATTCCATACAAGAAATCAAATTGTAGTGTATGCTACTTATATCGACAGATATAAGTAGTATGTAACATCAATAGGAAGTGGAAACCCTAACAAAAGGCTAAGAAGATCAAATTGAAAATAAAGAGAAAAAGGAAATAGAAAGGAATTATGCCATGGAAGAAGCAAACAGAATGTGAAGGACAAGTGTTAAAATTTTTCTATGAAGTATTCACTATATGGTTCTCATATTTTACCAAAGAATTCTAGAATTTCGTACTTAAATACATTTGTTTGTCCTCAACTGTGTTCTCGTTCACAACAAAACTTATCCATTTAAAAAAACAATCCAAATCAGTTTTACTACAAATTTAGGTTTATACGAATGATTTGACAGAAATTTGGCACTGAATATAAAGAAGACATAATTTATGAAAATTATATTTGAAATAAACTCAGTGATTCAGATTTAAATAATCCCAACGTTTCGTCCAGTAAACTTGTCTGGACTTCTTCAGGATAATAATTAAAAATCAAAATTTTCAATAAATCTATAATGTTTAACAACCAAGTAAAATTTATACTGTGCTTATTCAATCATATTCATATGTTGATAATTAAGATAACATGAGTCAGTTATATGCACATTATATGAAAAGTTCACAATGTAAAAATAAATGGATGAATGAACAGTATATATATATATATATATATATATATATATATATATATATATATATATATGTTTAAAGTATTGATAGTAGTTAATATTCGGTGTTGATTTGTTTTTACATAAAGTAATAATAAAAGTACAAGTTAAAAGTTGAAATAGTTTTTGAACTGTCGATGTACATGTCAAACGTAAATCATCAAATACATAATTGTAATGCTGAAAATTCAGATTATTTAATAACTACTAACTCAGACATCTAAAGTAAGTACATGTATATCCATATACAGTTCAGTTTAGATTAATCATGATCGGCTATTTTTTAACCAAAGTTTGTTACAAGTGAGTGTTCTGTAGATACGATAATTATTTTTTATATAGTTGAGATCATGAGTCAGTTGAAACTAGACCACTATGGAAAACCTGGAAGCACTGGAAGACCGCTTCGTCCTATTGCGGAACTCTTCAGCAGTGCACATTCACGACCCCGCCTTGCGAGATTTGAACATAGAACCTATCAGTCTCGCGCGCTAACGCTTAACCTTTAGAACCACTGAGCCGGCCGGCATCTAACGGTGTTAATGTCAAACTTCAACCAATCCACGTAGTTGAGCAACCATTCAACAATGTCTTCAGTGAGATGATATCTCCCGATAGACCTGGTTGAACTCCACTGTTTACTGCTTCCCACTAGAACTCCAGGAAATACCTCATGGAAACAGTCACTAGTTCAGTGCTTCCAGGTTTTCCATGGTGGTCTAGCTTCAATTGACTCATGATCTCAACTATATAAAATTACTAAAATCTCCACAAAGACCCCTTCTGATAATTATTTTTTGGTAAATCCTTTATTATCATCATCATTGTTTTAATGTATTAAACTTCTATATTCCGTATGAATACAATAACCGGGAAATTTTATACATGTTAGTATTTATCACAATATTATAAATAGTTTGCCACAAATCTACAGTTTTTATCATTGGAACAAATAGACAAAACTTTTTTTCTTTTCACAGTTACTCTTCACTACAACAAACTATAATGAAATGATGTAAGTTAATAGTTTAGAAACTATTCGTCCTTTTAAAAAAATGACTAGGTATTGATTTCAATGTTTTATTAATGATAGGGCTTTTATTATGCTACTAGTTATGTAAATCTATAGAGTTGTACTTGTATCATCATAATGAAACATACCTTTTAACATCAAGTTGATTACTTTGATATACATCCCATTATTTCTGGTATAGCTGCATGTTTTTGACAAATATTCACTCTAGGAATAATTGATTTCATTATTATTTACTTACTTAATTACTTGCTTACTTACGCCTGTTACTCCCAATGGAGCATAGGCCGCCGACCAACATTCTCCAACCCACTCTGTTCTGGGCCTTCCTTTCTAGTTCTATCCAGTTTTTGATCATTTATTATTATTTACCCAATTAAAACAAGTACAATTTTCATCAACATGAAAATATTAAACTAAATGTCAACTGAATTGTCAATGAAATGTGAACATGGGAACTAGTGATTATTATTTATTTTTCGCATGCTATAGTCATTGAAAATGTATTACTTTGGTTACAATCGATTTCTTCCTTTGCAATAGTTGATAGGACAAGTTTTATTTAATTAGATTAGTGCATAAAAATAAACATGAGGAGTGCAGAATTACTATCTTGTCTATGCTACTGAAGATTATTTGTATTGTACCTATGACCCTACTCTACCCTGTAATGAAAATTAAGATATCGTTGAACATTACGTTAGAGATTTCAACAAACTATCTTAAAATAATCTAACAGTTGTGCAATTTTTTAAACAAGATTTCTGGCTTTAGAGATTTATAGATGTAATTATCATAATCCGCTTTATTCATTGAGGTTCATTCAAACTAATAAATGAGTAACCCAGAGAAATGTGAAATTTCACATAATCGACGGTGAGTGATTGGAAGAAAATCCGACTAACACGTCCTCATCGTGCCTCCTGGATAATTGGACTGTTTCCATGAACTAACCTGAACGTTTAATTGAGGGTGGTCGAGATCGGCCTAATCAACCACTCTACTAATACCCAAGAACGATCAAAAAGTCATTGCATAATTATTGAGGGTTCAAAAGAGTGGTAAAACAATGAGTCTACCCAAACAAAAACAAAAGCAAAAAAGGGTTGTTAGTGTTATGTAATGGTTCTGCGTAATCAGTGCAGAACAGCTAACCCGCCCCGGTACTTGTGCTGTGCTCCAATGTAGCACTCTTCTCCAGAAGGGCCTACTAGGCTTCACCATTCTATATGGCTGGAAGGGGTAACTAAAGGATTATCTTCTTACACCCTCCACACTTTGGAAAATACGAAAAGTGAATAAAGTAAATTTTATTTTATTCAGAAGTAAAATATGTAGATCAGTTATGATTCTTTTATTTATTCGAAGGTCATTGTAATTCTCTAAATATATGATGCACTCGTATGTTTCTTACAATCCAAAACTTGTATATATATACTTGAATATACGTTAGTATTATAAATTCGCTTCCAAGGTTGTTTATGTTTGATAAATATGACTTATCGATTTCCTCCTATCTACAATATAGTTACCGAAAGGGTATTTTGTAAATATTATGTAACAATGAAAATAATGTTTTAATAAACAAACTGAACAGAAACATAATCATTATTGATCTTTATTATCTGACGAAACTGCTTCATTCAGAGTTTTAAACATAGATATCATTCTCTAATAAGCTTTTTCTAACCTAAGAAACGTTTGCATTTCAAGTGAACCATATTGTAAGAAAATAAAGTAACAGGAAATTGATTTAGTTGGCTTAATAATTACAACTAAATGTAATATTCATATAACAATTATTCGCATTAAGATTCTGACATGAATCAATCCAGATATCTGTATTTAAAAGTTCAATGTTGAATAGTATGAGAAGAAACTGTGTTCAAAAGTACTTCTTATGAAATGGTTTAAAGAAGTTTTTTTACCTGGCACTAAATGAGTATCCAACAACTAACTTTTCTAGTTACGTTTAAATTGAGATAATGAAAGATAACCATCCACGACTACTGATGTTAACTGTCATACTATTAAACGATTAAACTTCGACATTCACCTCTTCTAGCTAGGCTTCGTGAACTTTATCGATAATAAATGTTATCTAAATAATGATCGACACAATGTCAACTTCTTTTAAACATTAACTATTACAGATGGACAATTAGTTTTTAGTTTACTGAAGGAGTAGATACAAAACAATTATAATCAAATTAGTATATTCGTAAAAAAGAGCACCTAGTCTACCTTTGCCATAGTAGTTTTAGTGTAGGACATGTTTTTTAATGTTGAATCATTGTATTCTCTATGGCTCTTCCGTTTTTTTGTTATCTTTGCATTCAGTTACAATTACTTTTTAAGGCGATACAAAATAGTTAAAGCAAATATATTTTTGTCAAACATTTGTCTACACTATCCTATATTGTTATAAGCTAGGCTTTTACTGTTAAGAAAACCTAGGTTGGGTCAAAATGGCTATCCAGTACTTTATGGTACCGCATGGTTATTTAATTATGTGTAGTCAGTATAATGAAACCCCTAATTCTAAAAGTTATTATTATTCAAAACTATTTTGTGAAGTTTTAATTTCAAAAACGTACCATTTTATGTAAAGTGTTATCACAAATGTCATGGAAACGAGGAACAATGTATGTTATGATTGTATATTTTACCATATTTGTTAAGTTTTAAAAATTGATAATTTAAATATACATTTATTAGGATGGATTGTAGACTGGTAAAAATGATAGTCATACAGTATTCGTAGACTAACATTACCAAAAAAGATCAGTCTAAAATGACAGTTTTATTGTTTATTCGTTTATAAAAACATAATTCATCCATTAAAAATCATTATTTTTTACAGATTGTTTAAAATGATGTAATAGCTAACACAAAACTATATTTAGATGCTTTTCATTCTGTAAAGTCTTTCAATATTAGATTTATTTTTATTGAATAAATAAGTATTAGACATAGCTGTCTATTAGTTTTAATAGAGTGAATCGTT